TTAATAAACATTTAGTGGTGTTCCCAGGGAGAGCCATACTAGATACTGGAACTACAGTAACAAACAAGATATAGTGTGTTGGATGGTATCTTCTCTCCTTGAGCATTGTTACACAGAACAGAAACTCAATCCGCTCATGGGAAGTAAGAAAAGAATCCAAAGTAGATAGAGACCTTCATTCTGGGGGTAATGGCAGCCACTAAAGAGTGCATTACCAAGTCCCCAGTTATCTGTCTCTCTGGTTGTAAGCTCGAGTGCCAATGACCATGGGCAGTGCCCATTCTCCTTCATACCCCCCACTTAAGCCATTATAGGAAAGTACTCATCATCTTTCATCAGAGGTGAGGAGGCTGTCTCCAGCCAAAAGAGAGCTTGCTGCTGTTAAAAAGAATTGACTGAGTCTATCTTTCAATTTTCCATTATCTATTTGCTATCAAATAAAATTTAACATGAAATGTTACCCCCTGCTGAGTTTATTGATTGGGTTCATTTATTTGTCCATCTAACTAAATGCGCCTAGAAATGACATATTTACCTTTTCAGAATTTGGAGTTAATAAAGACCATTGTATGCAATAAGTAAGTTGCAAAATACTCGCTTTTATGAGAGTTGCTGCTACAGTTTGTGGGCCTTTGGAAGAAAATTTACCTTTATACGCATACAAAGACTTTCAAGTAAACAAGATACTTTGCTGTACTTTCCTGACTTAATATGGAGATCAATTTTAGTCATTTATAACCAGGACACTTTCACATGGGGAGAAATTATCTTGCACGCCCACAAGTGGATTTCTATTTAAAGGTCTCATTTGATTGCTGTAGGGAGTATATGCTACAGACCCTCTAACCCCCATCCTTCAAGACGAGAAAATTAACTCTCCAGGTAAAGTTATCTGAAAAACAAGAGAGAGAGAAATTACATCCGACAGTGCCCTTTTATACCCATTTATCTATGTGGACATTAATGTGAATTACCTTCAAGCATCAATGTGCTATTTTTAACTTACGATGCTCAATCTTTGTTCCAAGTAAGACACATGTAAGATATTTTTAAGAGCCAGAGCAATAGTATGTGCAAGGGTACTATTGCAATTCTACCACTGCATTATGCATTGCATTATGCATTGCATATGCATTGCAATATGCAATTCTACCATTGCATTGCACATTACTCTAGTTGCTGCTACTGTTATCTCAAACCTCTCACTTGCTAGAGGGGTTGGACAACTGCGTAAGTGACTCTGCCTTGATGTTAAGTCATGGATGATACATTTGTGCAAGTGAATACCTGTGTATCTTAAAGCCCAGCTTCTTTAACTCTGGGTCCTGGCCTCATATGGAGCTCGTGTAAGTGAAATATGGGAATAAAAAGCTTTTGTTTTCAAATAAATGTATTATTTGTTATCAGGAAATGTTTGCTTTGCAAGCCTATTTCATACACTCAGGATAATGTAAAATTTCTCAGGTAAAAAGGAATAAGAAGGGGACCAAGTGTAAAAAGGCTCTATCTGTAAGCAGAGCCATGCTTCTAAAAGGTGATAACATTCACGTCTTGCTCTGTAGCTCTCAAACTTGTTTTCACTCCCATCACACTTAACACAAGGCACTTCAATTGATTAAGCACGATGCCCAGGTGGGCCCAGTTAGGATGTTCATAGTAGGCTCTAGATCCCCTCATTTGAAAAGTGCCTGATGTCCTTTGGATAAGACAACACAATCTCCTGGGGGTAAGAAGGGAGTTGGGGCTGGGATGAGAAGCTCTGATTTCACCCAGTTTCCTATGGGCATTATCTGCCCACTGCCAGTCCCAATTCTCCTCAAAGGGATAGATTCTTCCATTTGCCTCTGAGCTCTGTACAAGTCCCTGCTATATTCTCAAAATTCTAAAAATTCCAATAATGTTTACTGTTGAATAGGACAATGAATAACTCATAATTCATTTATTAAAACCCTCTACACATTCCTGATGATAAAGGTTGATTATAAGTTTTTGAACCAAAATGCTCCACTTATTTAACTCTACTAATCTGGGAATAAGAGGAAATATACTGATAAATGGAAATATGGTTTTTTAAGAGTCCATGAGTGGGATGGGGAGGGAAGATAGTTTAAGAGGATGGAGCATTTGCTTTGCATGCAGGAAACCTGGATTGAACCCCTGGGATGGCACGGTCCCCCAGAGCACCACCAAGAGCAACCAAAACACTAGCAGGTATGGAACAAACAAAATTTTAAAGAAGATTCCATGGGTCTCCTGTAAGGATAAATGTTGCATAAAACTGTCCTCAGTGTTTCTCTTTATTCAAGTCATAGCTTGTGATTAATAAAAGTATTGTTTTTCCAAAATGGAACTATAAGCCAATACCCAATGCATTCATTTGCTTAGCCATCTATTCCAGCATTTAATTTAGGCTAGCATATGTGTTTATACACAATACATTCACACATAAAGTGAGTCATTTTCTATTTCAAGAGTGGCTATCATCACTTTGTAATTGATATCCGTGTGGAATACTGGCTGGAGGTCTCATATAAATTAAAGCAAATTAAAGTAGCACAAGAATGAGATGTAATTATCGAATTCCCATCCATGTGGTTCCAGGTTCAGCTGGAGTGTGAGCTGAACACCTATATATTCTCCTTTATTTTCTAAAGGCACCAATTTTTCCAGCCTCTGTCATTGGGTAAGTATATCTGCTTTCATTTATTAAATGCTCACTTTACTACTGTGCTGATCATAGTGTAACATCTCCCATCACCAGCACCACCTCTGGCTAAAACTTGCCCATTGCCTGTGTTTTGGTCAATGGTCACAAAAGCCGGTCCATTTATGTGCTGACCACTATCTCATGAACTGGCCTAGATAGCACTGGAATCCACCCAAAAAAGTCAATGGAAATCCTCATACCTGGTCATATCAGGTCCCTCCAGAATTGCCAAAAAAGGATAGACCAGCCTCTGATAGGGATCCAGAGCAGAGGAAAGTCAGGTCCACAGTGACTGGAAACAAAATCCACTTTCAAGTGACGCGAGACACCCTTGGCATCCCAAGGAGGCAGAGGATGTGACCAGATATGGGCAGAGGTCTTCACTTGCCAAAAACCACCCATCAACCTAACACAAAGCCATCCCTGTTTAACAGAGATGCTGATTCTATGATGAAATTAATTTACACACACTTTGAAATTTTCCAACAAACATTATCACTTCCATCCCAATCCCCAAATTCAGACTTACTCTGAGGACAGGAAGGAAATCAACCCATAGGGTGGGACTAATGACAGCCAGAAACAGAGCAGAAGAAGGGGAAAGCAGAAAGGAAGAAGAAAAACCTCCCAAACACTTTCCTCTGCTCTAGAAGTGGTTGTTATTGCTCCATCAGTGTAGACTAAAAAACAGCAGGAAAAGGTGTTTGGGGCAGGACAGGGAAGAGAAATCAAGTCAGAAAGAACAGAATCGTTGGGGAACTGTCCCTAAAATTCCCTGGAGCCTAAACTCTTAACCACAGGGATATAATGACTCCCAGAGGGGCCCAAGAGAATGGGAATTCTTTAGCTTGCTTCCAGGCGAGAAGCCAGCTAGCCTAAGAGAAATGATTAACAACTTTAAAGTTTCCCTGGAAAGACTATGGAGAAAGAATTGGAGCACCCTTGGCTGCCTTTTTTTAATCTCGTGTCCCCACTGCCAAGAGGCTCTTCCTAATGCCCTACTCAAGTGTCTCAGCAGACCTTGAAGCCTGTCTGTGTTTCTCAGTACTCCTCAGACAGAGGGCTGCTACTCAACACCCTTACTTAGGAAAATTGCATCAGTCTGGAGCCCATCATTAAGCTGCCTCTTCACATTCTCTTTTCTTCAGAGAGAAGCAGGGTGGTCACTTTTACAAAGAGGATTTCAGTATGGCATGAGAACTGAGCCAGACTAAATACCTTGGAAGGCATCCCCAAGGAAGCCTACGATGATTCATTTTATTTGTGAAATGAGATGTCCATTATTTTGTCCATTTTTGTTGCTGTCTGCCCTAGTCAATTTCTCCATATTCTTTTAATATTTTCAAATCTAATGTGCATAGGGACAATTTCTTACAAAAGAAAACAAAACCTCATGAGTTCACAATAAGCCCAAACAGTCAAGTCCTACTGAATAAAAAAATCCGAACAAAGAGTATTTACAATTAATACAATGATGTCTATGACAAAAGACTGAAAATGGATATTAATAAATAAAATGAGAGTCAATGAAGTATTGTGAGTTACAATATTTTTATGGCGCTCTGTACTTTTCAAAGTATTGTTATATACTTTGTTATTTTGACAATCTTATTCAACCTGTTAAATGCATTTTAATAGTAATATATCATCAAATCTAAATCAAGAAGTCTTGAATTATCCTGCTAAACCTGAACTTTTAACTCAATAAGAATTACATATAATTATTCGCAGTCTGCATCAGAACAGTATGAATTAATGAGGTTCTGCTCCATTGTAGCTATTATAAACCTGACAAATTTATGGCCATCTTTTATCCCAGAGTGTCACTTCCATCTACATGTTAGTAATAAATACTGCTGCTTCCCACAGGAACGTTTTGTCATAATAGAGCATCCCACTTTAAGGAAGTTTCACCAAGTAAATTATCTTATAATTCAAATGCCATAGAAATATTTTATATGACAAATGTGCTAAAAGTTCATTAGACTCCCTAAAAGTGCTTACTTTGATTAAAAATGATCCTCAATAAGAGACTATATCCAAAGATTGAGGACCCAAATCATCATCTTTCGGGGAGAAAAAAAAACAGTTGCAATGAACCCAGTTAATAGTAACAGCATTCAATCAATGTGCATCGAAACCCAGATGCAGAATCCTCTATTTATGCAGAATCCAGCAACACTTAAAGACTATAGGAGCATCTCATCTCCACTCACTTCTTAAACTACAGTTGGAGTCAGAACAACAGTCACTGTTTGTTGACAACTCTGACAGCGACAATGCCTTAACCTACCTTGAAAAGTCTTAAAATGTTAGCAACCATGATGGACACGGAGCTGGCTGCAGCACCTATGACGCCAGAAATCTTGTCGGGCTTGGTGAAAATGGGTGGATCTCCATTCGCACACTTCACGTCAGAAGCATCTTTCTCAATTAAAGCCTGCACGAAAGTGAGCGACTGCTCCAAAGCGTAAGTGTCCCTGGAGCACGTGTCAAGAATCCGGACACCCAGAGTGATGTTGGAGAGGAGATCAGGGTCCTTATTAATCTGGTCGATGGCATAAAGCATGGCCTCCAGTCTGTGGATCCCCTTTTCCTTCTTCAGTTCCCCACAAGGCACCCCTCGCTCTCCCTTGGCATGGACAGGAAAGAGACCCCCCAGAATGATGTCCCCATCCAGTCGGATGGAATGGGCATACTCCTGGCTGTGAGTTCTTTGCATCATGGTGAGGATCCAGTAGAACTTGGCAGTCAGGAGGAAGAAACAAGGGCAAGAGGCCGATCGCTTTCCCTCGCATACCATTTTCTCCACGGGCGGGGTGGCAGGTCGAGACCCAATGCTTATTCTTGCCACGGAAGAAAAAAGACCACCTGAGGCTCCACCGTCTTGAGGCTACCATCAGGGCCCATGGAGAAGAGGCTCGGTGAGTTTCAGCAAGCTCTCTTAATGTGAATATCACAGTGAATTTCCATCAGACCTCTAAGATTCCATCTTGTTGCCATCTAAAGTCAAGTTTCCTAGAAGGGTGCCAAAGACAGAATAACAGCTGAGGTTCTGATATTGGGATGAGGCCAACAAGTCACGTCCTTGAAGTCAGCCCCGCAGCAGGATTAGTCCTGGAGAGCAGGCGAATAAAAAACAAGGTTATATTTCTAAGAGTTGATTTTTTTCTATAATTCTAAGTCATGTTTATGCCAACCTTCATTTCCTTTAATTTCTCCTATTCAGTAAAAACACTAATTCCTTCTGTTTCCCCCTATGATTCAGAACACCTGTCTGTGGCTGTCTCTGAACAGAGAGATTGATGAGACTTTGGGAGCAAGGAAACAGAAAAGTAGCAGAAACTAGGTTGATTCTCCCAAGTATCCCAAAAAGTAGTTTTATTTATCATTTTAACAAATCCTCTTTTGGTCCTGGCCAAAATCCTGTGATTACTGGCATTCTTTCTTTTCAACTTTTTATCATTGTATTTTTTAGAGCTGTCTGAAGTTAGTCTTCCAAATTATGTCTACAAAATCATAACGAAAGGTTATTTTCTGTTTTGTAGTCAACAAGCCAGTTATCCATTAATGACATTTCTCGCAGAAGAAAGGAAGAAATCCATCCAAGAAGCTCAAAATGTCTAAGCTTTATAGTTTGTGAAGAGATTTGACAATGGATGGTTAGCTATTTCATAGAAATAATATTATTGATCTCTGATTTCCAAAAAAGGACTTGAAAATTAAGCACACAGGGAGGATGATGTAGGAAGCTATTGGCCCATCACCACTGTCAGAGTCTCTGATTAAATGCATTAGACAGAAGCAATGGGTATGCTCAGAACTCTGAAATAAACACTCTTGATCCCATCACCAGGAGGAGCAAACCAGAGCTGGAAATCAATGGAAAACTCTCCATTCTGCCTAATTCTGTGGGGTAAACAGTTATTTCATCAAACCTAGAAATAGAATAAAAATGTCGACAAGCAAGTCTGCAGGGGAAAGAAAAATTAATTCTAGTTCCTTCCCTCTTAAAGAGATCAGGAGAGTCTTTCAAAGGACATTTGAGGAAGTTAAGCTGGAAATAAGACTCAATAGAAGAAAATCTGATATTTGAAATGCATATATTAATATTAAGGGCATGTTTGGGCAGAATGGTTCATCTAATGCTCCTGTCCAACTTAGTTCTGTAGATAAATATGAACCTGAAATGTGGACAATTCTCCATCCCAACCAACCAACATCTGGTGGTATTTTCCACTCACTCATTCAGTTTCCAGCTCATAAAATTTCCTTTCCGTCCTCCTAGTCCCAAAGGGAGAAAAAATGGTATCTCCCTAGAGGACAACTGAACAGATGTCCAAAAGTCTTCAGAGAAAGCTGTACTTGTTTTTTCACTTTCAGATTAGCAAGAGGAGTTGTTATAACCCCCTCCTCTGGTCCTGTATTACTAAGTACACACCCTGGCCAGCTAATGGCCCACTCTGCAGAAAGTATAGTCTGCCTCCAAGACTAATATCCACAAGCTAACCCTGTATTTCCTCTTTTCTGCCCCCAAACACTCAGTTCTTCTATCATTCTTTTTCTCACCCTTTGATATCTCTTCACACTTGATTCTCCTAGCAGCTGCTTCTCCCTCAGAAAATCTGTGATCTGACAACAGCCTGGTCTGAGGCATTCCACAGCAGAAAACACTTAGAAAGTCAAGTTGACTTTCCGGATGAAAACATTTAAGTGATAGTCCATTAATTATACCTGTTGTTCTCCAAAGACCAGCCTTTCTTCATTATACCCAGCCACCCACAAGTGCTGAAACACTTAAGAGAATATGTGGGTTTCCATTACAGACCAACATAAAAACAGCCCATCTGTTCATTACAAATCTTCCTCACCTACTCATGTGGTGCTAACCTAGATCCACTTGCTGTACAGTTCTGGAAATAATAAAAGCAATTCGCACCATCCTGGAGTGTCTGTTAAAATTAATGGTATTTGCAATAGTTTTTAGCCCCTTTAACATCTCGGAGGACAGCTTGGAGCTTCAAGGATAGTGGGGGATTGGGGATACTGCATGAAGAGCAAAGAGAAGAGCTGATTTTAGGAAGTGAATGTACTTCCATAGAACATGAATGGTCATTTTGGTTATTATCTAGAGTAGCATTTCTAATCAGAGACTGTAGATCACTCTTCTTGGTTCCCAGGATTACCCAAGGGGTCATGGGTAAAACTTTCATAAACGTGGGCATACAAAAGTAAGTAGCCAATTAGCAGTTCAGGAGTCCTCTGGAAGGAAACAAGATCAGAAGGGAACCATAGTCAGAAAAAGGTTGAGAACCATTGATTAAGATGACTTGTTTTGTTTGTTTGGGGGGCTACAATCAACAGTAGTGCTCAAGGTTTACTCCCAGCTCTGTGCTCAAGGATTACTCCTGATGGTACCAGGGGACCACAGCATGTGGCACTGAGGATGGAATTCAGGTCAGTTGCATGCATGGCAAGCATCTTATCCAATGTCCTATCCGGCCACCTCACTTAAATTTTTGCTTAAGTTCCTTCCTCTGCAACATAGAATTAATAACACATTACTTAGCCTAGTTTTCTTTTCTGGGATGCCTGGTTTCTTGGGCTGCCACACAGCACCTAGAAGCAAAGCACCTGGCAGTGCTTAAATCCTCAGCAACAAGAGGTTTTCATAGCTAACTGGGCCTGTAACCCAGTTTCATCAAAAGCACAACAACCATTTCCACACTTTCCTTTCATCATAGGGGCCACTTCTGGCAGTGCTCAGCCAGTGATGCCTGATTCATGGTGCTCACAGGGTCACAAGGCCAAATCCAGAAGCACTGGGGGCTGCCAGGGTCATATTAGTGCTCTGGACCACTGGAGCTGTGCCCAACACCTAACTAAGTCAGATATGTTCACAAAAGTTTATGTTTCTGTAAAGATCTGAATTACTTTGAAAACACCGAAATACTGGGGCCAGAGTGAAAGTACACAGGGTAGGGCATTTGCCTGGCATGTAGCTGACCTGGGTTCAATCCTTGGCATCCCATATGGTCACCAGAGAACCACTAGGAGTGATTCCTGAGTGCAGAGCCAGCAACTTCTGAGCATCACCAGCTGTACCCCCCCAAAAAGTAAATAAATAAAATACTGAAATACTACAGCTATTTGTAGTGTTTAAATACTACAACATGTCAAAGTCTGATATATTGTCAAAACCTCAAAGACTCTTGACAGCTGAAAGACTGAAGTTTTCCTTTAAAGTTAAAAGGGGAAATATATAGGAATCCCTGACTAAGAACACAGAATGTTCTGAGGAAACCTTTCCTAAGTCCCAAATGGCATTAAGTGAAGATTCCATTTTTATTCATTCATAGAGGTAACATTTTCAGTCTTACCAATGCCTCCCCATAGTGTACTAAACCATACCAAATAACACATAAACCCAAATTAACACTGGCATACAGTAAAAGGAACAATATGATAAATACATATCATATTATATAAAGTTGCTCCAGGAAAAGGGGTTTCCTGACATCTATTTCCACTGCTACAAAACAATTCTTTTTTGCTTCCTAATTTTTGTCAAAAATGTAAAAATCTTTCTCTTTAGATATCTCTCTGTCATGGAAAAAACACTTATGCTGTGTTTTATTTGTTCATTTGTTTTCATAAAAGTGAAGTGACATAAAGCAAACTGTGAAATATAGGGGGTACTTTGAAAGTTTGGGGACCACCACAGACCTACCTCACTGTGCTCTCACTCAATGCTCATGAACTTCCACAGTAATTCAGTCTAGTGGAGTCAGTGAGTTTGAGAGAAATGATGACCTCTTTGTGCTCTAACAACCAAATAGTTTAATTTCATAGTCTGTGTTTAATTTCAAATAAAACAGATTTTTTTCCCCAAAACTAAGCTTCTTTCTCTCTAGTGTGGTTCAAACAGCATCTGCTCCTGGGATTCAAGTTGATGTGAGTTCTGCCTCTCCTGGCCCCAGGGAGTAGATTTTGCTCCCCTTGGCCTTGAGAGGAGCAGATTTTGCACAACATCTAAGCCTACAAGAGGAGCTGCCCAATAGTCAAGAAGGCTTGAGGCTTAAGCCAGAAATCCCTGCTGTTCACTTCCTCTGGGGCCATCCTAAGTGCATGGTGATAAGGGCACATGGTACATCATTAGACTCTCATCAACAGTCTCTCTCTCTGGCTGGGTTGGCTGGGGTGCTGGTCCCCTGCTGGAATTTCAGTCTGTAGATTCCTCATAATGTTCCAGCTATTTCCTGGAAGGCCAGGACTCTAAATTCTGCTCCTTTTTATTTTCTACCAACCTGCTCTATATGATAGTCTCAAATACCTAGCAGAATATCTCATTCATTGAATTTTCATGTACCCAGCCTTAGTCCTGTGTAAATGACAAAAAAAGGGCTGGGTGCCTTTCATGGCCCAAAGCTCAGAGCTCATCAAATGCACCACAGTCAAAGTCCTTAGACACCCCGGCCCCCAGTCCTGCCCAGCTGGGTTCTGTATTTTGACCAAGCCCCCATTTGCTGTAGGGATTGGTTGTGGTCATAAGAGAATGAGGAGACTCTTTTTCTTAAGTGAAATCATTCAGAAGTGTGTATATCAGGGCTGGAGCAATAGTGCAGTATGCAGCAGATAGGGCACTGTCTTACAAGCAGCGGACCCAGGTTCAATCCCCAGCATCCCATATGATCCCCCAACCCCACCAGGAATGATTCCTGAGTGCAGAGTCAGGACTAATCACTGTGCATCGCTGGGTATAGCCCATAAAAACAAAAGAGAAATATTTATATCTCTAAAGACTGGCTCTTTAAGAAGAATTCACAAATTGGGAAGGAATAATCTGATGCTATCTGATGTGTGCATGTGTGTGTGTGTGTGTGGGGGGGGGTGATCCCTGATTTTATTTCAGGGTTGAGAATATGAACTACAGTTTGTTCAAACATCACTGTCTCAAACCAGGTTTCTCAGCCAGCCTGATGCACTGAGAGCAAACTAACATAGATGGGGTCTCTCAGAGTTCTCTGCGGTATGCAGCAGGTGCTCAAAAGGGTAAAAAGAAAAATGAAGGAACTTCATGAGCCAAGAATTTAATCTCTTCTTTTCTTATAGAAAAG